ATATATATATATATATATATATATATATATATACAGTGAGAACAAAAAATATTTGTACAAGGGAATTTGTTATTAAAAGAATCTTATTTGTAGAAAATAAATATTAATTAGAAATTTTATACAATAAATACATTCTGTTCTAATATAAACAAACGAATGTTCACATATATTCTTGATTGTAGAAGCTAAATTTCTCATCTGTACGAATACTTTTTGAGCATTCAAACAAAACAATTTTTTATTTTCGCTTATTCTTCAGATGATATGTTTTATATAATTAATACACATCTTTTTGGTATATATCATTTTAAGAAATATACAGTCTATTTTATTCTTTATGAATAAATTGTTAATTATCCAATAAGAAATGATCGTCAATTAAATGTCGAATCGACGTCAAATTAATGTTGAAATCGTATTCATATCGATTCGATATCAATTCGATGACTTATTTCTCGTTGAATAATATTTACTTTTTAAAAATAAAGTTTTTTTAAAAAATATTTTCTCTATACGAATACTTTTTGCACTCACTGTATTTTTTATTTCAACATCCGATCATAAGTGACGCTTCTCTTATTTATCTGATTTATTCTGTGATTTGTTTCTAACTTATTATTGTTTTATGTTTGTGTTAGAAACGGTCCACTCAAGTCTCATAGTATTGTATTGAATTTTTAACATAATATGCGAGTGCAAATTACTTAATGATTGTGTTATAATCGTGTCTGTGTTGATTTTGTTTTCGTTCACGTCGCTCGTTCCTCGATTCTACGTCGAGTTTTCCATTGCGACGTTTTATTTGACTCTATTCCCAATGCCGCAAAATTCAATATTTTCAACTTCCTTGCTCGAGATTTGAAAGCGACCAAGTTGTCGATAAGTTTTTTTAGTGGTTTTAGTATCGATCGTTATGTTTACTAAGGAGAACCAGTAATACCGAGACTCTTTGTAAAGGAAAACATAATAAGAAATCTGTATAAACATGAATTCGACGGTTGTAATTACATTTACATGATAGTCACGCGTGCGATAGCCATAAACGTGAGCTTTAGAATATTTGTTTTTATTTGTAAAAACTTGAATTATAGACGTTTATCAATTTCTTTGTATTGCAGTTTCTTATTGATAAATATATTTTAATTATACTCCTATAGGTATTCTAATTTACCATATCAAATTTCTCTTTCGTTTCAAATTATCATGTTGAAATGCATAGAAACTTAATTTACTTAATAAATATAATGTAAATGATATACTTGCTTTTATATTGCAATTTGTTTTTATTATTTATAAAGACTTTAATTAATAGATGTTTTTTAAATTTATTTATATTGTAATTTCTTATCAATTAAAATATTCCTTAAAATATTCCTAGTATTCTATTTTATGATATCGAATTTCTTTTTCATTTGAAACTATTGAGAAACGTGGAAAAAATATATAAGATGTTACGTACAAAATATTATTATCTAATAACAAAATATTGTTATTATCCAGCTTAATTTGCCATGGCAAATTGTGCACTCGGAGAAGATATCTATTCTATTATTTTCTATCATTTAAAGTCTCGTTATTCTATATTGAACGTTTAAAGTATCCGTATTAACAACATTAATGACGAGGAACAAAAGCCAACCGACCGGACGCAATGGTCGATATCGAAATGTGCGACGTTCAAATTGATAAGTACGATTGTGATAAAAGAGGTTTTATCGACGATGTGATTCAGATATGAGTGATACAATCAATAGGGAAGCCTCGAAGAGTTCGGATACCCCGAAACGACGAGATTCCGTGGATCACACATCCATTAATCATTCCAATAAAAAATCTTTACTCTCCGTAATGAAACAGAAGGTGAGAATATATTATTTAAGGTTTCGATAGAAGGAAGTTGAAAGATAATGTATATGTTTGAAGAGAAGAATCCAGATATTTTGCTGATCTAAGCAACAGTTTCTATTTTCGATTACTTCGTCAACAGTTTCGGTTGTTATTATATCCCTGTAGGCGCATAATATTATTTAATATTTAAGCATATCTTTAGAATATTAAATGTACATTTAATATTCTAAGAATATGCTTAAAATATTAAATAATATTATGTGCCTATTGGGATATGAAGCGGTTTATATTGCAATATCAGAATTCGAGAATAAGTTACTATTTTTTGTCTCTCATATCCCATTAAACTGATTAAACATTTGACATATACTTGTATTATTCGGTACCTATTGCACTTTTATAATAAGTGTAAATAAAGCTGACTTCCTGAAAGTTTTGTAGATAAAGGTCTAACTATATTTGAAGAATTTAATTAAATGGTTAATTAAATGGAGAGAGATATGAATCTTAGAACATCCTACGTATGTTCTGACTTCTGCATTGTAATTTTTTATCATATTCTATTACATAATTAATACAAGTTTTCCGTACTTACATAGAATGAATGATTTTGCTGAAGGAAATAATTTTCAAATCTATATCTGTAATTTAGCTACATGGAAAAAAACGTTATGGTTGCCACAACTGAAAATAATTAATGATATTTTCCACCCATCAATACAATTTAGTTACAAGA